CCATGCATATCTTCAAATACCTTATTGACCGATGATTTGGCCTGTGGTCAACTTCTAGGCTCACATTTTCCCTCAGAACTTGTGATGGAAAGTGTAGGTGACAATTGACGCTAACATCCAGTCCATCTCTCACTGGAGTTCCAAAATTAAAATCACTGGAAATTAACTTCCTTTCCAAGCTCCCCTCGCCCCAGATGTCTGAGCTTACCCGGGTGTGTCCTCTCTGTGCCCACAGGCAACTATCTGGCCTCAAGTAGCATCCTGCAGTTGGCTCCTCTCCCTTCAGACCTCACCATGTGATATCTGAAGCCAGGCAGGAGCACCTGCTCCTTCAGCAAGGCTGTTCTTCCCATCATGGATGCAGCGGTGTGCCACCACTTGCTGAACTGTACTGCGCATCTGCCTATGTGTTCCCGTGCTCACTGACACCCATTTCCTCCTGAACTTCAGAGCATCCTGCCCTTCTACCTGCTGCTGGGGCTGTGTGCAGGGTGGGGTCAGGACACCGCTGTTCTGCTCTTGCGGGTTTTATAGGACTTCTGGTTAAACGTCATAAACACAGCCTGTTTGCCTGTAGGACTCAGTCTGAGGACGACACCTCACATTCCAAGGTGCCCATCACGTCGGAAGATCCACCATCTTCAAACAAAATACGTCACCCTCTCTCTTGCCTTGTGAAGAATTTTTTTCCTAGAAGAGTCTTCTATTCTTCACCAGACACATTCCTCGAGATATATTTGTTACAGGGACCCACCCCACAGAAAAGAGCTGTTCTATTTGCTTACAGGTTGAACACATGGGAGTTAATGTAAGTTGGGGGACACTTTGTTTAAAGGAATAAATGGTGAATATTGGATATCGGCTGTTCCCTTTAAGATAAACTCATAGAACTCAAGTCATTATTAAATTTGAAATATCGCATATTGAGAAAAAAATACATTTAGGGAATGTTATAATAATAATAATAATGTTACAATAATAATAATAATGTTATAAAGTAAACATTATATTACTTAATAAGAACTGTATCCTGAGAAGCAAATATTATTTCCTGACTTCAAAATCCAGAGAAGGCAGGGGATAATTTTTATGGTTAACCAAAACAAATTCCCATAAAACTCTAAAAAGAAAAACAACTTAGTTACTAGACTAGCCTAACCCATTGGAAAGCAACAAAAGACAAAGATAATTAAAGCAACAAGAATAATAAGACACGTGTGTCAGCCACTGGGCTGACTCTAGAGACTGTCCCCTTCCGGCCTCCTGTGGTCCAGCCCACCTCCCGGTCCACAAGGGGATGCCATACTCTTCAGTAGCATCTTCCTCCTCACAGGTGTATGACCATATGTACTGCCAACCGCAGCCTTTGAAGTCGTTTTGAAATGGATATTTTCTTTCATGAATCCAAATTCTGCCTCAGAAGATAAATAGTAGAGAGAAAAGTAGGATCTTTTTTGCAGAGTTAAGATTTTCCGAAGGCTTCCTCTGCCGGGAGGAGCCGCGCGGGAGTGCACCACAGGGATCTGCTGGGTTTGGAGACTCCACCCGGGGTCAGGTGCCAGAGATAGAGGCGCCCGGTCACAGGCCAGGTGAGCACGGAGTGCGGCCGGAGACCGGGGAGACGGGAGTGACTGATGGCTTTTCTCTGGGGGCTCACTGAGAAGTGGGGCCCAAGTTCTCGGCTCCTCCGGGGCGGAGATTGGGAGGCCGCCATTTTCACTCTCCGCCTCCCAACACTTATTATACTCTTGAAATTAACTATTCACTTGTCCATCTCCATGTGAGTGCAAGAACAAGCCTATTCCTTTTGGAAAATTAGCTCCTCAAATATATTACTTTTGCCTCATTCTCTCTCTCCTCTCTCTCTGAAGCTTTAAATAGACAAGTTAGAATTTCTCTGTGTATCCTCCAAGTCTCTTAGCTTTGCTTTCATATTTTTCATCTCTCTCTATGCCACATTCTGTAAAACTTCTTCTGCCCTAATTTCCAGCTCACTAAATCTGTCTTCAGCTGAATATAATCTGCTGTTATACTTATCCACTGAGTTTTAAATTTGAGGTAGTTTTTTCTCTGGGTGTAAGTGTGTGTTTGTAATAGTATGGTCATTTTTTTAGCCTGCATCTGACAATTCCAATATTTGAAGTTTTTTCATGTGTGGATCTGTTCTTTCTTGTTTCTGTGATTCTGGTTTCAGGGTTTCTTTCCTTATAGACTTAATTATGGTACACTGCTAATTTTAATCAGAAAAGTATTTATAGAAATTATTTGGGACCTGGAAAAAGAGAATATTCCTCTCTAGAGGGATTACATTTGCTTCTGCTTGAAGTCTGAGGGTATTTAAACTAAACTCATGGGTTGACATTTTTTGTACCATTTAGGTGATAGAAATTTGAGGACCGATTTGTGGTAATAACACCTCAGGAATTTCCCTCCTTGTTCTTCTCATGACAAATCACCTTTCCTTGGGGTGAGGGTTAGGGGGCAGAATTATTTCTGATTACTGTAAAGTGTAGCCCCTGGAGTTCCAGCTCTATGGAGGAAGAATTTCCTATTAAAGTCTCCATGCTGGACAGACACAGAGATTTTTTTCTGCACATAAACCTTGAGATTTATGAGGCCTTAAGCACCAGGGTTCAACAGCAAGTTCAGAAAATTCCCTCAGGACAAAAGTGGCTTTAGAAATCCACTGGTTTCCCACCCTCACCAATGTTTTAGCCTGATTATATCTACTAACCTATTGACCCCCAAAAGATTCCTAATTTAAATGTTATTCAATTTATATAATTTTCTTCTCACCTTTTTAATATTTTTCAGGTTTTCTTTTCTGTATTTTTAGCCAGAATATTTATTTATTTTCAGCAGGAGAAGCCTAATCAGCCTTGTTACCCTGGTGCATGTCTTTTTTATCCCTGTATCCTCAGCATACAGAACACTGCTTGGCACATGAAGGAACACCATTCGTTTTTGATTGTTTAATAAATAAATCCGTGTCTTCTTTGACTCTTTCATTCCTGCCTTCACCAGCCCCAATACACCCCTACTCTCTATGCCCTAATTAAAGTTCTTTTACATTTTCATTCATGTGTGCCTTCCATTTTCCCATACCAGCTGAGCTTTCCCCCGACTTCTGCAGTATTTCCTGGTTACTTCTCCTATGGAAGAGTTTTCATTCTTATCATAGTTTGGGATCAGCACTGTCTTCACTCTCCGTGACTGCTTCTGATCACCCACTATTCTGCCTTTATCCAAAATCTGCTGCTTTTCCAAAGATTATGCTATTCTATTATAACATTCTTTTTCTGGTTTTATTGCTACCATATGCGGACTTCCAGTCATACCTCCACATTTCTTGAGAATTTCACTATGTAGTTCACGATTTCAACTATACTTCATCCCCCAATATATTTCAGTATAATGGAGAATTTAAGAGTACAGAGCAGACAACCCAAGTGCAAGCCTACCCCTTATTAACACAGAACTGTGGGAAGTTACTTAATATTTCAGTGTCACAGTTTTTTCATCTGTCAAATGGTAATAATGATATTATTACCTTAACAGTATCTGGCACTTAGTAAATGCTCAATAAATTTTAACTGTTTTATTATGCTCTTACCTCATCCAAAAAATTTTCCTTCTGCATGCTTATGATTCATACAACAGCCTAATCTCAATGCTGCTCAAAAACCTATTTGTCCACTTCTATAAAATTTCTCAGCTTATTATCTAAAATGGCATTTCTGAATTTTACTTTAACCCTTCTCAAGATCTGCCCCTTCTTTTCATCCATTGACTTTTTATCTTAACCCAGAAATTTAATCCATTTGGAAATACATATTTCAGAATTTCTCTATATTCATAACCATGCTCTATCTTCTCCTCTTTCTGGGGGAAACAATGTCTGTGTTTTCTTAGACTAGCTCAGTCTTCTCTACCCATTTTATTCTTTCTTCTTATTTTTTATCTTTAAGCTCTTGGTCTCCACCAGCAAATTCCTCTAACCTCTAAACTTGGCCGAGGCTTACTTAACCTAAAATAAACTAGCTAATTCTCCCTTCAACCTCTTTCTTCTCATGTTACTATCATAACTCTTCTAATCTTCTTGAATGGGTAATCTGTACTCTCCATTCCCATTTTCTAGTGTCTCACTATTAACTTCCAGAAATCTGGTTTTATCTCATTGCTACTAAAACTTACTTTTCAAAAGTAAGCAGCAATTAGATTGTCAAACCTAAAATGTCTTTCTTTAGAGTTTCTCTTACAACTCCTTTGTAGCACTGAATATGTTGACTACCCACTTGAAACGTTCCTCCATCATTAGATTTCATGTTAATAGCCTGCATTCTTTCTTAGACGCAATGCTGAACAGAAAGCAGATATGATGATAGTCAAACATTCATGTTTAAGAAAGGCCCCCTCATGAACTGATCTTAAATAAGACATTTAGCTCCAGTTTCCTTATCAGTAAAATGGGCATAATATTTACTTGCCTCGTGCACTAATTTATAATGCAGATAAATAAAATAATGGATCTGAAAATACCATAAAATATATAAAATATACAAAATACCTGAGTATGTTTCAGTAACCTGAAAACAGGATGCAGAAAAGTATATTAAAAGACTCTTGCTACTAAATCTGCTATTAAGTTCTAAAGGACCCCAAGCTTTGTGTCTGACCTAGAGGTTTTTCACTATTGCAAGGTTTCAAAGTGCCTTCACCAAGGTAGTACCACTCCTTGAGAGCTCTTGTCAGGAAGTTAAGAGACATTATACCAAAAACTCTGACCTACCTGGACTCACTTCAAAATGCAAAAATAAAATAAAATAAAAAGATTAGGTTGACTATATTGGGGTACCTTCATGTTTAAAATATTGTGGAAAATCAAAATATTAATGATACATCTTCACATATGCAAGCATGAAAATTGAATTGGCCCAATTGTGAGTAAGAGATATTACCAGTTCTAAAAAATTTTTTTTTAATTTTTAAAGAAATATTACCAGTTCTTGGAGAAGGGGCCCTTGCAATTTCTAAGGAGCATGGTTTTTTTGTAACGGCTATGTCCGTGAGATCACATAGAAAGTTCTCATTTTCTGAAGGAAATGTATCCAGAGAAGCAGATGGTACAATTTCCATAGTGTAATTCCTCTTCTTTGGATAGGACTCCTGAAAGGAAGGAGAAAAAATAAAAATAGCTTTGTGATAAAGACACAGCTTGTTTGATTTATAAAAACTAGAAAAGATAATCAGATTCATTGGTTCTTCCAAAAGTGATTAAGAGGTGCTGATTCATCTGTTTGAATAAGTTATGCCATCATGTAACCCCAATATCATCAGTGATCTTTCTAGAAGGGTCCTGACAGTTCGGTTCCCCTGAATTTATTACTGACATAGTAAAGTTCATGATCTCTTGTCATGATCTCTTTTTGTAGTATATGGCAATTTTCTAGTTGTGGCATAAATTGTTGCTTAACTAATCAATATTCATTCCCAAGACTCTACTCCCTTCCCTGCTTCCTAGAGATAGCCAGAGACATGTAACTCAGTTTTGGCCAGTTGGATGAAAGGGAGACTTCTGGGAAAATATTTTTTCCCCAGAGGAAAGACATGCAGTGGGGCTTTTGTAGAGCTTGGCCATCCTCAGTTTCCTCTCTCTGGATGCAGTTTGGATGTCTGGAGGTCAGACAGGCATGTTGTGACCATAAGGCAATAAGCTTAAGATCAAAAAGATAACAGGTTAAGAATGCAACAGAAGGATAAAAAGAGCCTGGGACATTGATGATATCACTGAGTTACTGAAAGAGCCCCAGGACTAGTTAGTTACTCCAGGCTTCTTAAGTACAAACGTTCTTATATTGTTTGAGCCATTGCTAATAGGGTTTTTTGTCATTTAGAAGTAAAAGTATTCCCATATAACACACTAGTATTTTTTCTTTGTGAATCCTGCTAACTAATATACTAAAGTTTCTCTTCTCAGGTTGGGATAAAACTAAGGTCCAATTCTATACTACTGATTATTTGATGTATTCTAAAAGTAGGAATTCATTTCATTTCACAAAATCTTAATTTCTTATACAAGGTATTAATTTGTCAACAAATATTTATTGGGCATCTGTCATATATACTTAGAACTATGCTAAGTGATAGAGATTTTTAAAAACTAATAAGATATAACCTTTGCCCTAAGAAAGCCCACAGTTTACTAGAGAAGAAAACAGATATCTACATAATGAATTTCACAATTAATCATGCTTTTTGGTGTTTTTTACCTTTACAAAGCATAATTATCAAAAGAAAAAGATAAATTAAAAAATAAATTCATTTTCAAAAAATCTTCCAAGATATATCCAAGTATTAGTAAAGATTTAGTATAAGCTCCTATTTTTTCTATAGTGATATTTACAGTACTGTAGAGTAAGTATTCAAGGTCAGTGTAATTGCTTTCAGGCCATACCAGACCCTCACACACCAGAGAGTCAATTATGTTCACTCTATCCTATTGAAAGCAGGAAATTGGGAGTAATTTATTTTTAACAACAAAGGGTGACAAAGTAGAAAGCATCCGGAGGAAAGCAATCAAGATGGTGTATGATTTAAAACCATGTCACAGATGAAATGATGAAAGGACCTGCAATGTTCTATCCTGGAGAAGCCTTACAGCAGCATAATAGTTTTCTCAACATATTTGAACAGCTATCTCTAAAGAGCTATCCCACAAAGCAGAGAAAGGGGAAAAGCTGCTGTGGTAGATTTATTCCGAAGTTCTTAAAGGCAGAACAACGACCAATGTTTGTAAGTCAAAAGGGGCAAATTTGAATCAATAAAAAAAACAATGTTCTATGAATAATATTGGTTTACCTTTTAAATAAAAATGCACTAATTTAACAGTAGCTGAAAAATACACTATAAAGCAACAGAAGAAACTCCTAATTACTGGAACTCTTTCAGTAGAATGATCTATTGATAAAATTATCTATAAAACACATTGTCGGGGCGCCTGGGTGGCTCAGTCAGTTAAGCATCTGCCTTAGGCTCAGGTCATGATCCTTGGGTCCTTGGATCAAGTCCCTCATTGGGCTCCCTGCTCAGCAGGGAGCCTGACTCTCCCTCTACACACTCCCCTCCCCCCACCCCCGCTCATGATCTCTCTCTAACTCTCTCAAATAAGTAAGTAAATAAATCTTAAAAAAAAAATCCCACACATTGTAAAGTGAATATATCAGATGACTATAAATTCCATGAAGGCTGGAATTTGTTTTGATCACCACTCTGTCCCCAGAATCTAGTACAAGTCCTACCACATAGTAGGTGTTCAATAAATACTTACTGATCAACTGAATATTCTCTAATGCCCTTTTTAACAAATTCTAACTACCAGCTAGGGAAATTATTATTCCTTGTTCAGATATAAATACTTTGCTTTTTAGTTTGGTTATTATTACTGTTTACTGTTATTGCTTTCTGTTTTGCATATCAAAAGTGAAAAACCTGAGATTATGAAAATAAGATTATAAAGAGTCATGAAAAAAGTCTCTAGTTTAAACCCTAGTTCATCCTAAAGTTAGAACAACCTGTTAATCAGAACAACCCATTCTTCATGGATTTGGTTAGATTGAAATTGTAGTCTGTTTGTAAAGAAATACAAAGACTTAATGGCCTTGAAAAAATACTCTGAAATTTAACCACACAAGATGAATTACTTTGCTGTCCCCTTAAAAGTGAAGTATATTGTTTATTACAGAAATATTAGAAAATATAAAGAAAGAGAAAAAAATCACATGAAAATGCAGCATGCTCAGATAATTAATAGTAACATTTTGGTGTATATCCTCCCAGACTGCTTCCCTCTGTAAATGTGTGTATGTGTGGACATGCGGGGGTGTGTAAAGGAAAGAAAAAAAAATATTTTAAACAACAGTGAAGTGCACCCTCTTCTGCTTCCGAAGAAAGTGCCATTACTTCTAATCAAAGTCTACAGTACACAGTTTCCTTATGGAAAGTGAGAGTCCCAAGGGAAGATGGTGAAACAAAGATAGCAAACAGTGCTTTCTTATTCAACTATTTCATATTGTTGAAAAAAAAGGTACACTTAACAAAATATCTGATTAGTATCCCTCAAAAGAGGATGGATATGTGATAGAATAAAATAATAAAATGAATCAGTGCATGTGCACTACTCAGTTTAGAACATTAGAACATTACTTTGAAACCCACCCCTTCCCACCTGTGTCCCCCTTTCCAGTCCCTCTCCCTCCGTCCCTAACCAGGGCTAACTCCTGTTCTGAACTTCATGTTTATAATTCCTTGGATTGTTATTGAAATTTAACTATATATGTAAGTATCAATAAAGAATTGTTTCATACTATATGCTTTTGAATTTCATAAGATAGTATAAAATATTATGGCTCTTCTACGATTTTTTCAATCACTATTATGTTTCTGAGTTTCATTTATTTCAGTGTGGTATAGGAGTTCACTGTATAGGTATACAATAATTCATTACAGATTTTCCTGACAATGGACTTTTAAACATTTCCTAGGTATTGTGTTATTAAGACAATTTGCTAGTAACATTTCTGAACATGTCTTTTGGTACAAGTAACCAGGGTATGTAACTTATCCTAGTAGACATGGGACAGAGAGTCAAGAATAGACACAAAGTGAGAAAAATGAATGAAATAAAAAGTTCTACAGATACAGGAGTTTGCAGCAAGAGGTGATCATGAGAACCAAGGCTGGATATCCCGTAGGTTCTATAGAAATCTTGAGGAGGACATTGCATTTTCCCACCCAAAGTGGGATGAAGAGATTTTTCTATAAATCCTATATGAAGATGTTATATATAAATATGTATATGTATTATATGTAATGCTTTATAATCTGATATAGATTTACTTCTAATAATGCATGGCAAATAAGTTTCAATTACAAATATGTATCTACATGATAAATCTAAGGTTAAGTCTCAGTATACACACGGTCCTGATTTATTTAGTTAATCCAATCATATTGAAATTTCAATGTTTTCCTTTTAAGGGAAAATTCTTGTGCATGTACCTCTGTTTACATGTTCAACTATTTCTTTTGAAATAGAATTCCTGGTATTTTGATAGGGATTGCATTGAACGTGTATATTGCTTTGGGTAGCATAGACATTTTAACAATATTTGTTCTTCCAATCCATGAGCATGGAATGTTTTTCCATTTCTTTGTATCCTCCTCAATTTCTTTCATACATGTTCTATAGTTTTCAGAGTACAGATCCTTTACCTCTTTGGTTAGGTTTATTCTTAGGTATCATGACTTTTGGTGCAATTGTAAATGGGATCGATTCCTTAATTGTTAGTGTACAGAAATGCAACTGATTTCTCTGCATTGATTTTATATCCTGCCACATTGCTGAATTCCTGTACGAGTTCTAGCAATTTTGGGGTGGAGTCCATCTGCGAAGAGTGAAAGTTTGACTTCTTCTTTGCCAATTTGGATGCCTTTTATCTCTCTTTGTTGTCTGATTGCTGAGGCTAGGACTTCTAGTACTATGTTGAACAACAGTGATGAGAGTAGACATCCTTCTTGTGTTCCTGACCTTAGGGGAAAGCTCTCAGTTCTTCCCCATTGAGAATGATATTTGCTGTGGGCTTTTCATATATGGCTTTTATGATATTGAAGTATGTTCCCTCTATCCCTACACTGCAGAGAGTTTTAATCAAGAAAGAATGCTGTATTTTGTCAAATGCTTTTCCTGCATCACTCTGGAAAGCAGTATGGAGGTTCCTCAAAAAGTTAAAAATAGAGCTAATCTACAATCCAGCAATTGCACTACTAGGTATTTACCCAAAGGATACAAACATAGTGATCTGAAGGGGCACCTACACCCCAATGTTTATAGCAGCAATGTCCATAATAGCCAAAATATGGAAAGAGCCCAGATGTCCATCAACAGATGAATGGATAAAGAAAATGTGTTGTGTGTGTGTACATATATATACACATACACAATGGAATATTATTCAGCCATCAAAAAGATGAAATATTACTATTTGCAACCATGTGGATAGAACTAGAGGGTATTATGCTAAGCAAAATAAGTCAATCAGAGAAAGACAACTATCATGTGATCTCACTGATATATGGAATTTAGAAACAAGACAGGATCATAGGACAAG